ATATCGGTTAGCCCAAATTCAGGCCTACCATAGATATCGGGTGTGCGCCGGCAGGGGATCGAACCCCGGACCATGTGCATGGTCGGCGAGAGTCCTAACCACTGTGCTACCGACGCACAATCAACCAGTTGTGTTATAAGTTTATGATCCATGTTTTATCTGATGAATGCAATTTAAACGTCTGTTTTATTAGATGGTTGGAGACAATCAGCAGGAAGTCTTGTTCGACCTAGGTTTCGTGCTAGTTGGCACTCGTCAGCAAGGCTAGTCCGAATAGCTCAGTGGTAACGTCTCTGAATACTGGCACCACTGGGTGACGCGGGTTCGAATCTCAGAAGGGACATGAGTTCCTTCAAGGTAGCTGCAGATATGCCTTGCTGACTGACTGGTGAGTGCCAACTAGCGCGAAACCTAGGCTGGACAAGGCTTCCTGCCGATTGTCTTCAACCATCTAATACCATCAAATCAATGTGCATGGTGATGGCGAGCTACCTAGCATAATTGCCACATTACAAACCTGACTGACAGAATTGAGTCTGCACCAAAGAAAGGACTAGATACATCACACTAGTTACTAGTGTCCAATCAAAATAAACGTTGGTTTTGTCACATAACTGACATCAATTATACAAAACATTGAAAAGCGAGGGATCAACAGATAGCTAATTTGTCCACGTCTTGGGAATCTTTTTCAGTATGCGGCCTACCACGAACAGAACTCAGGACCTTTAGGTTGTTGAATGAACCCTCTGACTATTCAGCCACTGGGATGGAACTCAATGATCCCGGAGTTCTCATAATGATGCTATCACCAAAAAATGCTATTGACTAGGATTTCCTTGATACCAAACATTGTGGATGTCATCAACCATGACCTGGAGTAATTAAGATTGAAGTTCAAATGAGGGAGCATTATTTGAATTATCAGCCTAGTGACATTTCGACACAGCTATTAAATTACATAACTTCTCATCGTGTCCTTATCTGGTATAAGTCACGAATACACTTCATATTCTGTCTTTTTTAAGCCTTTTCAACCCACTTTAATTATTATTGTCCGCCTGGGTTCCCAGTGGAATATACTGTCTCAGCAACACATCTCTATAAGCATAAAATTTGGGCACTGTGGTAGAGTATAATACCATTATGGATAAAATTTATTTTGATAAAGTCACATAGTGTTATAAAAGTAATATTTACTGATGACGATTAGAGCACAGTTTATTGCTCTTAATCATATCAAGGTAATCGCACAGCATAACATTCTAACAAGCCATTTATTTTACTATAAAAACATCTTAATTCCCATCTCATTAACTGACTAACAACACTCGTCTTAATTCTTATCTTACTATATTTATTGATAACACTAATAGTGTTTCCGAATGTACTTCATATTCTTTTCGGCTTCATGTATGCTTATATTTATTTTCTTTATAACCCTAATCAATTTTCACTCATGTATATAAATGAAGCAAGAAAGTTGTGTGAGTACCTTGATATGATTATGGACAACACATCTCCACTTTGTTCTACTTGATGCTGTCCTCTTCAGCTGGGTCCGCAACTGCCCATTATCTTTCATCTCCTTCTCCCCAAAAGACCTCCATCTAACCCTCGCAATGACGACCCATTCGTCGCTTTCCATTCGGGTCCCACCCCAGCGATGGCCTGAATTATGCGCGATGTCATTCAACAGCCTCCAGTCTCTCCTACCTTATTCTTGAGAAATCGACCCTTATTCAAGTTCTGGGAGTACTGGACAGCTGTTTTGTCCTAGTTTGGGACTCTTCATCAGTACGCACCCACCGGGATTCGAACCCAGGACCTCCTGGTTACAAGGCTAGCTCGTATACCATTAAGCCACTGCGACCCTATCCAGTGGCCCATGAATTCTAACTTCTGCCAATTCACGACATAGCGCGACCCCTAGCCAATGTCTTCGGCGAGTATTTGTCCTCACACCCGACCTGCTGCACCCTACTGGTCACGACTCTTAGTTGGTTGTCTTGTTCCATTTAATCTTCAGTATGGAGGCGTTGAAGGAGGCAACTGTTGATAAAAGTCTGCAACCGGCTGTTGGAAACCCTTTTTATGACACACAGTGCAGGTTTCTGACTCGTATAGAAGAACTGAGTGACTTCATATTTGTGCTGAACAGAATCTGAATCTTGTTGTTTATGCTGAGGTGGAGTGCAGAAGATTTCCAAACTGGTTTCAGGTTGATGAAGGCATACCTTGCCTTTCCGATTCTGGCTAGTTGGTGTTGACATCTTCATCCGTGCTGTGTGCCTGTGGTTGAAATCGTACTTCCTGACCAGATAAGTGAAGGCGGGAAGTAACCTCTTTCAAATCTCTCCCGTTGATGATGATTGGTGCTTCTTCTTGTTGTTGTTATGTTGGTTATCTTCATCACCTCCATCTTCTCTATGTTCACCTGGATGAGTCCTGTCTTCTCCGCCTACTCCTTCAGCCAGTTTTTTGGTTTTTGCCTAAAAGTCTTCGAGTTTGTGTAGCATTAAACATAAATCATCCGCCCCAAAATCCAGATCTTCTAGAGTCTTCTTATCGGTCAGTTCAACATATTCCTGTCTTCTCATTCCCTTCAGTGTTCCACATAATCCAGTCCACCACAGTTAAGAGTTTCATCGGTGATAATAAGCAGCAGCCTTGTCCTACTCCTTTATTCACTTTGAACACCTGTCTAAGTTTTCCGTTGTGGATCACCTGACACGTGACAGTGTCATATAACCAGCCGCTGAATGAGGTTGATATAGATTTAGGTGGTGCATGCCCTAGTGTTCAAGTAGTTGTCTCTGTCTGTTGAAAGCCTTTTCGAAGTAGATGAAGTTGAGGTAGAGATCTGACTGCCATTCCAAGCTATGTTCTGTGATGACGCTGCGTAGAGTTGCAACTTGATCAGTACATGATTTGCCTTTCCTGAATCCAGCTTGTTCGCGAGGAAGAAGGCGTTCTGCATCCAGCGCATCTTTTATTCTTTCCAGGATGATACGACTTAGTATTTTACGCTCTTGCAGAGGAGTAAGTCGCCCTACTTTGGTAACTTGACAAGGCAGGCTTCCTCCCAATCGATAAGCACCTTTCCTTCCTTCCAAACTCTTCATAATAATGGCGTGAACATATCTGTCACAGTCTCTGGCTCAGTTTTCAGTCTGATTAGAATATGGAATACTAAACTGTATTGAAAATCATCTGCCTGACCCCAGCAAGCCATGCTGGTTGATATCAGTGTTAACAAACTACTCGTATCAGTCAATCAGTAGTTTGTAGAGTAAAGCGAGAATAACAAATTCAGCAGAAATCAACAAAATACACTGATCTCATTTTATTCTGTACGATTCGTTCCTGTTTCTCCGTTCAAACGCTAAGTATTCTCCACTATAGGTCAACATATTTTCTAAAATTATTCTATTATCAGTGATATTACTCACACTTTAACTTACCTAATTAACATGCGTTGGTGCTTCGGCGGTAGACTGCTTGCCAGTCATGTTTGCGACCCAAGGTTCGATCCCTGGTCGACTCAGTAGTCTTAAACCTCACAGCTGGTAAGAAGCCAGTTGAATAGGGAAAGTTGAGCGTAAGGCTACCAATCCCAACCCGTGAAAAAGGATAACACCACACGACACGAAGCAACGAACAACATATTTAATATGATGGAGAAGATTTGTAGCTCAGGTGGATGATTTTGAACCAAAAGCCCCCAAGGAAAGCACAAAGAAAGTCGCCCCACCATATATAAAGGACATCTCAGAAATCACTGCAAGACTCGTCAAACCTTTAGGAATTGATGTCGCACACAAACCAACAAAATCACTTCACTCAGTTCTATTTCAACCAAAAGACTCAACAGCGAAAGAAGATAAAACCAACATCATCTACAAAATAAATTGTAACAACTGCGAAAAACACTACATTGGCCAAAGTAGACGTCCCCTTCGTCTTCGTATCCACGAACATAAGCTAGCCGTCAAAGGACATGATATCCACTCCCTCATATCACTACATACAGACAACTACGGGCATCAATTCGATTGGGACAATGTTCAAATATTAGACAGAGGAAACAACAAAAATGCTAGAGAATTTTTAGAAGCTTGGCATTCCACTGAATCATCAATCAATAGACACATCGAGATAGACAAAATTTATCAACTGATAAGAAAGAAACCTCACACACAAAGGGTCAAAGTTCAAGTCAAAGAAACAATCAGTTCCAATACAAGTAGCCTAGAAGGTGTGAAAACACACAAAAACAACCAATCACGTCCAAGGTCACCTGGAGAGATGATTAATAAACTCATGGAGAAATCTAGAAGCTCACTTCAAATTGAAGTATGCACTGAAGATGTTGCCTAGTAAGTAGGGCGATGAAAGCTTCGTAAATTAACTATCCAGCTCAGAGAACACAACCACATCAAAAACATATTTAATACTTTGAAAAAGATAAGATTGTATGTCACACCAATATTTTATTGATTCATAGTCTCGTAACTTACCGAAAATATAAATATCCCTGTCCCATAAAAATGGTAATAATAATAATTGTGAAAATATATATGTACAGTTAGTGGATAGGAATAAAATTAATAATAATAATAATGTTAAGCATCTTTTTACAAACTCTTCAAGACGGGTGATCATATATGTAACTGTTGATGAGTTTATTTGAAAGAAAAAGAGATTATGAAAATTTAGAAATATATTATTCAATGATTTTTAGATATGAATGTTGTCAGTGTTATAATTAATCATTAGTTAGTTACCTATGATTAGGATAGATATTCAAATTTGAAAATGGCGCCTTCAAATAAACCATACACTATATATATGTATGTTCAATGATCAATGTATATCATAAAAAATGCATATTTTGGGATTAGATTTCAATGATGGTATTCATTTGATTTACAGATAAGATATGTCACCTAATACTGTGTGTTTGCGTGTGTGTGTGTGTGTTAGTGTGTGATTTTGCTCTATCTTGTATGTACAACACTAGCACCGACCTCTTCATACTCCTTTTTCTCAATATAGATTTTACGAAATGAACTTAATGAGGCTAGAATTGATCCACCTATCCATACAGCATATTTCTGATCATTTTGTTTTTTATGTACAAGAATACGTTGATTTGTTGATGAATTCAATGACTTCAGTTCACTTTCCAATCGTTGAGCAAAGCCTGGAAATAGGGTACATCCACCGCTTAATACAATATTTGAATACAGAGTTGATTGTATGTCATAAGGTGAATTTTGTATTGCATCATTAATTACATTTTGTAATCCAACTGTACCTGGAAGTCCAGTATGATTTGGAGAGAATAATAATTCCGGTGCCATATATCTTTCTTTAGTTAAACGAATTATATGTCCATCTGGTGTATAATGTACATTTTGTGTATTGGACATTGAATCCAACTTAATTGATTCACGATTGGTATCCATAGATACATAGCATACTTTCTCTTTCAGCATACGTGCGAAATCACGAGAGATTGAGTTAGCAGCAAGTGGATGTGTTTCTGATAGCATATATCGAAATAATTCAGTGACATGTGATCCTCCAAAGTATTGACGTCTAACTCCTCCCGGTATCATAATTGTATTATTCACTGGTACAATATTTGACATTTCAGTACCAACATCAACAACTAGCCCAGTTGTCAATCCATAGGCGTATAAAGCCAATGCAGATTGATCTGCGAAATATAAACCAGGCATATGAAATTTTTCAAAAATCATTTCAGCTAATTTTTCACGATTATACTTTGGTAGCAGTGGATATTCACTGATCAACACAGGATGATGTTCTGGATTTGTGCGCAGTTCTTTCATAAACATATAATACCATACTATGGATAATTCATCAATATCTGTAACAATTCCATTTGCAATAGGACAACTAAGTATTAATTCATTTCTAAGTGCATTAGCATGTTCACCGACAAACCAATCAGTATATTTTGAAGATTTTGATGGTCTTCCAGTTAGCATTGGGACAAGAATTCGTGGTGCTCCATCACCAGCATAACCAGCTTTCAAATGTCCAGCACCATTATCCACAACTATTGGCCAATCTTCAATGACAGACATGATACACAAGTAGTAATTATGATAATATTAATTATTATTATTTTAAAATTCAGAAAAATTATATTAATAAATAATGTAGAAAATTTAATTTATGTGAAGCGAACTTATCAGCTAATCAAAAGTTCTATAAATAAGCAATCTTTCAACGTGTAATTATTAACCACTCCTTCTATAATGACCTTGAGTTACCATAGCATGTGACTTGTTTTAATCAATCATTTCTAAATTCTGATTGGTCGCTTAAAGGTCGCCTGACGAAATCATTGGTGTGATGCTCATAAATAAGAAAAGGTGAAATAAGTAAAAGCACACATATATATATTAAAAATTCTTTTTTTCTGTTTTTATTAAAAATTTAAGCATTTTAATTGGTGAAAATTGTCTTTTCTGGGTTTTAAAAAATAATAATAGTAATAATAAACTTCGATGAAAATTCTTTCCGAAAAGATTCATCAAGGTCATACAGAAGTGATTGTAACGCGATGAATATAGAAGGTGAAAACGTAGTAATTAAAATCGATATTGAGTTACTCTTTATTTCAGTTAAATTAAATAACTATAATATTTAGTATTTCAAAAGACACAAACACTCACAGACTTACAAACACAGATAACTTCACTTAAATTGTGACAGGAATTTGATGCATAGATTTGTTAATTTCTGATGGATCTTCTTGAAAAGTAACTTCCAACTGTGATGTTGATACAGATATCATTGAACAAAGTATCATCCATGGTGATATGTGATAACAAATAACACGAACTAATAATAATAATAACAATGTTGTTCCTCTGAGAGTTGATTCGAGACATTGTAAAATACACTTGTAAATAACTCTGTCTAAAGAGAAGTAATTCGTAGCTAAGTGTGCATAAATCAAACTCTAAACTTTTCCATAAATGCACCAGGTTAACTGTTGTTTGTCCTTTCAAATGGGTTAAGTCAGTCATGCAAAACAAACTGCATAATCAGCTTTCTCAAATGTCATCAAGCTTTACTCTAATATACCTCAATAATTTCAGACATTTATTCCCCTTAATGAATTTGAACAAAGCAAGAACAGCAGATTTTGCAGAATAAAATGATACCAACATTTATTTCTTTGGCTTCTCATCAGCTCAGCTGCTTACAGGCCAAAGTCATTATTAAGTATATCCACAGAAACAACAACAGCAGCAGCAACATCCAGCGCCATTCACTTATATAGGGAGCATTGTTTCAACTACAGGAGGAATGGACGAAGATGTCAAATAGAGAATCGGGAAGATGAGAAACACATTCATCAACCTGAAACCAATCTGGAAATCTTCGTCACTCAGCATCAACAACAAAATTCGGATTTTCAATACAAACGTCAATTCAGTCAGTTCTTCTATACGGATCAGAAACTTGGCCAGTGTGTCACAAAGAATGTTTCCAACAGGTTGCAGACCTTTATCAACAACTGTCTTCGCTCTATACTGAAGATCAGATGGCCGGCCGGAAATAATCACCAACAAGAAACTATGGGAACAAACAAAACAAGAACCAATCGCCCAACAAACATGCAGGAGAAAGTGGAGATGGATTGGACACTCGCTGAGGAGGCCGCTGGGTGACATCGCGTGTCAGGCAATAGCTCGAGTGGAACCCGAAAGGGAATCGGCGAGTGGGACGTCCAAGGGTGACATGGAGGGGATTGTGTGAAGAGGAGTTGAAACAGTATGGAATAACATGGATGCAGGTGAAAAGTACAGCAGAAGACAGAAGCAAGTGGAGACGTGTAGTTGAAGCCCTATGTTCCACTAGGAACCCAAGGGAACAATAATATAATAATAATAACGGAAACAATTTTAACATACTTACACAAAGCGCTCATTTAAAAAAAATCAATCAATATATGCATACAGTAATAATATATATGTAATATGAAACACTATTCCGAACAATAATGATCATACACAATGGAAACTTTCAACATTACGTAATCAGGTGAAAGAGAGGTGAAAATATCCAGTCACCAGAGCAAAGAAAGACTGATAACTGCTTCTTTCTGAACGCATTAATCAGGTTTCAGGCACTTGATGGAGATCGCTTCGACAAACTTCAAGGGAATTGAACTATTTTGCCTAGTGATAATTTTGGAACGATCTTGCTATGTCTACCTCATGACCCGTGTCAAGGACATGCCTGGCGATGGCACTGTTTAAAGCATTTGTTCCCTTTAGACATAGGCTTTTTGGTACATGTTCAGCAAATCATAGATGTATCCTTCTTTCTGTTCTTCCAATGTTACTGCTCCCGCAGATACACTTAAATTTGTATATACAGTTGGAGTTAACATGAGAAGGATATCTATCGATATTTGATTGCACCAGAGAACAAGTTGTTTGATAGAAGGAAACGAGCTTAGCTGCACGATAGGTTCTGCCTAAAGGCGTCTTCAATCTTCTGTTGACAATCGCTGTAATATTTTTACCTACAGTATCAAGTTGAATGTAGATGAGCTATTTCTCCACTGTGATTTGCTTGACATTTGAGACTTCAGATTTTCCATACTTGATAATGAACCTTTGAGGGTAACCGTTGCTATTCAACATCTTTTCGAGAAACATAAATTCTTCCTCTAACTTCTCTATAGAGCATCATCTCCTCGCTCTATAGTATAGAGTCTTGACTAGTCCACTTTTAAAGCAGTTATCAGTCTTTCTTTGTCCTGGTGACTGGATATTTTCACCTCTCTGCCATCCGACTATGCTATGTTGAAAGTTTCCATTGTGTATGATCATTACTGTTCGGAATAGTGTTTAATATTATTATCATTATACATACATATTATTACTGTATATATATATGTTGATTCTCGTTTAAAAATGAGCTCTTTGTGCAAGTATGTTAAATTTTTTTCCCTAGATATACTTAATAATGACTTTGACTTGCAAGCAGCTGATGAGAAGCCAAAGAAATAAATGGTGGTATCATTTTATTCTGTAAAACTATCATTGTTCTTGCTTTATTCAAATACCTCAATAAATTTGCAAATGAATATATCATTAAATATAAACCAGTCATGATGCTTGGTTAGTAGGAAAACGAAATTTTGCGTAAAAGTTGTTAGACTAGTCATAAAAATTACTACTACTTTTCCGCGTAGGTTCTGAAGCGAGCATTGAGCTTCGGTGGCACATCTACATTCCACTCTGTTCTCTGTAGTCCTTCTTAGCAAGCTCCACGATTGCTGACATGCTTTCGTTTCTTTGTCATTTGATGGTCACACGTCCAGCTAGTCGTTTCCAATTCGGATTCCACTTGAGAACTTGCCTGGCGTGTGATGTCATTCAGTGACTGTTAAGTGTATGTTCAGTCTGTATCCATTATCTTCTGCATACTTGTAGGACAATGGGTTCTGGATTGATCCGCTGTCAGAGGTCCTTTTCGCTTGACATTTCTCACCGGCCATTTGATCTTCGGTATCCAGCTAGTGAAGGCAGCTGCTGATGAAACTCTTCAGTAGCCTGTTCGAAATGCTTTTGGTGACATGCTCAGTCTCTGAACCAAATATGAGCACCGACTGACTTTGAATAAGTGTATGTATAACTGACTGTTGATTTAGATTCCTTATTGTAGCGGTAGTATTGCAGTAGTAATTCCATACAATGAAGGAACCTTGGAAACCCCCTTACGCAGAATTCTTAACAATGCAAGCAGGAATAAAAGTGGCTGGCATTCAAACCCACAAACTCAATTAGAAACAAGCTTTGTCGGTTGAATGATCATTCCTGTGGAGCCTTTAAAACAAAACAATTTAATTTATCTAATACCCTGCCAGAATGACTGTCAGGTCAAATACATAGGTCAAAGTGGTAGAAGAGGGGCAGTCACACTAGCCGAGCATAAAAACCTAGCTAAACCTAGATTAGTTGATCCGAATAAGATAAGAAATCTAGAGAATATTTCAGCTATACCACTCACTACATGCAGTTACATACAACCATAAAATAGGATGACGGGATAGGATGACAGTTTTGAAATCTAATGTAACAGGGTGAATGGAGGGAGAGATTGATAACAGAAGCTTTGTTTATCGAATCAACTGACAGCGAATACATGTAATAAGAATGGTTCAACACCTGTCCAGTCAGATATCTGGAAAATTCTACTACCACGCCTACGACGACAAATAGGAGAAGACAAAGAAAGCTATAAAACTCAAGTTTCGAAGTCGTGTGATTATAATTGACATGATTATGAACATAATGGATTGTGTTCGAAACTGTGTCATCCAGTAAATAATACTGTTTCACTGACTGTGTGATACATCTAATAAACAAACTAATATGGAATTACTTACTACCACATTGCCCAAGTTTTACACCTATATTAATAGGCAAGGTTTGTAATGATAATACTAAGAATAAGGAATACGGAAAAATGGCATGATTATACAAACAATTATTCAGATAGACAACTACTTTCGTGTGTGAAGAGTAACAGGAACAGACATTACATTTTCTAGTTATCTTGCGAAACAGCAAAGATGAGTTACCGTAAATACCCATTGAGTCATGACGAAAATGAAAGACAATTTAACGAAGAAAGCTTTCAAAGAGTTTTACCACGTATTGATATCATTTAGAGATCCACTGAAAACCACTAGTGAAGTATTGGACAGCTGTTTCATCCTAGTTTGGGAATCATCGACAGTATGTACCTACCGGCTTTCGAACCCGGGACCTTCCGGTTACAAGGCAAGCTGGCTCGTATACCAATCAGCCACTGCGACCCCATTCAATGGTTCTCTAACTGACATCAGTCCGTGGTCAAAATCGTAAAAAAGCAAATCTAATTCTTACAAATCAACTCTTGAAAATTTTCTTTATCGACGAAATCATCTTCACAGGCTATACAGTCGTATTCGTATTTACCAAAAATGTATACTGATCCATTAATGAGTAGCAGGGGTGTGTGTGACGTAACTGATAAAATTACTCAGAAGTGGCTTCGAAAGTATAAATAAAAC